CATAAATCTTAAAAGTTCTTCGTGGAACCCTAAACGAGACCTTGGCGGCTTAAAATATTGGCCATTTGCCCGGAACACCCTAAGCGAGACCAAAATCCAAAATTTACACCCCTAAGCGAGACGACGAGCATGCCCGTCTGTTTCATATGGGAGTCCCCCCCCCGGGCTTGAAATGTACTTTATTCAAAAAATTGTCTAGTGACGTACTGATCATTTTTTCTTTTTATTAGTTTTTGTTCTAATATAAGAGGCATTCACTGAAATTTGTTGCATATTAACCACTGCACATCAAGTAAATCAGCAACACAAGATTCTTCTTCTCAACATGTACACATGTATTAGACTTCGACTGGTATTCATTCTATCCCCTGAAAATCCCTCTTAGCATCTTATTTATCTTTTGAGTACTGTAGATCAAGGTTTTGTGGCCTCCTGCAGTAATAACTCCTTTGATGCTCTGTGAGATACTAGATTTCCTAACAATAGAAGTGATACCTTTTCTAACTACCTGTGAACAATTGACTATATCTTTAGAAGTATCATATAATGCTTCTTCAATTAAAGACGCCTTGACTTCTTTGCTAATGACACTCGAGACTACAAACTGTAATAAATTTCGGGGTAACGACTTCAAGCGAGAAAATATCATGTTTATTTCTTGATTCTGGTGATATTTACGAGATGAAGAGTTAAAATGAATTTCATTTGACTTCAAAAGAATTGGGTTGTAAAGATCTCTAAAAGGTTCAATATTTGGACCAACAATGTTCTGTACTTTATTTTTGTTTTCTCCCACAATCATTCTGAAATCTCCCGCAAATGACAAACCCGCGATGCTTAAGAAAAGCTCTTCTTCTGTAAAGAACTCTGGAAGGCTCAGGAGCGCCACGTTGACAGCGCTGTATAAATTCCCCTTCAAAGCTGACAAAACAACTGCGTCATCTCCTCGTTGTAAGATTTTGACTGGTTTGTGAAGTCGCCCAGAGAGATATAACCACTGCCATTCGTTAAGATCAAGAAGAAAATTCTCGCGACTGATAGTCCCATATTTAATAACTCTCCCCTCCATTGGCACCAGAGTATTGTAATACATTCGTGCACCGAATCTATCTTGCAATGAAACCACAGCATTGGAGCCAAAACGTCTGACGAAAGAGTAGTGGTGTGAATGGAGATTCAGATTAGTTTTATGTTTGTCAGCTGCCTGCGATATCATGTTAAAAGAAGGCCTGTTATTTTGTGAGGCCGCGGCTCTACCCTCAGAAAGTTGACTTGTTTGTATTTTTTTCTAAACAGATGAAGTGTTTCGTTTCTATGGCAACACTGCTGATTGCAGTTCTTGGATGCTATTGCCAGAAGGATAATTTTCAAGCCCTAAGGCTGATTCCAGCGTCGGAAAAAATCAATTTGAACTTGATTGAGTGGATATTAGTGGCTGGAAGAGCACGAAGAGAGAAACTCGGAAAGGATTGTCTTCCTAGTCAAAAATGCCCGGCTAACAATACTTGCTGCTATGTATCGTCTACGAAGTACCGTTGCTGCCCGTTAAAAGATGCTGTTTGTTGTGCCGACCATACTTGCTGCCCAGGGGGCTACAGATGTACTGAAACCATTTGCAAAAAAAATCATTAATATCACTCAGCATTTGTCTGTAACCAGAACACAATCGATAGAAAATAGGATCTTAAACCGTTTTAAGGGCTAAAAGTACAACAGATCATTTAATTACTCTTCGGCCATCTTGGGACTACCATCATCAACAGGGTGCTAACAGGATCTAACGGCATTTAAAAGGCAACTCCTGAAAGGACACCAGGGCCAAGGGGATTAAAAAAGGAAAAACTCGTCTTAATACTGACCCATTTTGCTTTATTTTACGCTAGAAAGGGAAATAGCTAGTGAGAAGGACATCATCTGAGAAGTCTTGGTTAAGGGTTCCAGCGACAAAATTTTCTTCTTAAATATTGTAATACTGGCTAAGAGATTATGTAATTCTGATGATCCAAAATAAAATACATTGTTAAAAAAGAAGTATTTGTTTTAGAATTAACAGGGACAATTCAGGTGGATTCATTGGCATAAACATCAGGGGCGGATCCAGGTTTTTTTTTAGGACCAATAAACCACATAGTTTTTTTTTTTTGCAGAATACCAGTTGTATTAGAAAACCGCAGGTCATCTCAGGGGGGGGAGAGGGGGTGCACCCCCTGCACCCTCCCCCTAGATCCACCCCTGAACATGTATCAGTCATTTGCAGCTTGAAATGTACTTTATTCAAAACATTGTCTAGTGACATACTGATCATCATTTTTTCTTATATTAGTTTTTGTTCTAATAAAAGAGGCATTCACTGAAAATTGTTGCATATTAACCACTGTGCATCAAGTAAATCAGGAACATGATATTCTTCCTCTCAACAGGTATACACGTATTAGACTTCGACTGTACTTCATTCTATCCCCTGAAAATCCCTCTTAGCATCTTATTTATCTTTTGAGCACTGTAAATCAAGGTTTTGTGGCCTCCTGCAGTAATAACTCCTTTGACGCTCTGTGAGATACTAGATTTCCTAACAATAGAAGTGATCCCTTTTCTAACTACCTGTGAACAATTGACTATATCTTTAGAAGTATCATATAATGCTTCTTCAATTAAAGACGCCTTGATTTCTTTGCTAATGACACTGGAGACTACATACTGTAGTAAATTTCGGGGTAAAGACTTCAACCGAGAAAATATCACGTTTATTTCTTGATTCTGGTGATATTTACGAGATGAAGGGTCAAAATGAATTTCATTTGATTTCAAAAGAATTGGGTTGTAAAGATTTCTAAAAGGTTCAATATTTGGACCAACAATGTTCTGTACTTTATTTTTGTTTTCTCCCACAATCATTCTGAAATCTCCTGCAAATGACAAACCTGCGATGCTTAAGAAAAGCTCTTCTTCTGTAAAGAACTCTGGAAGGCTTAGCAGCGCCACGTTGACAGCGCTGTATAAATTCCCCTTCAAAGCTGACAAAATATCTGCACCATCTCCTCGATGTAGGATTTTGACTGGTTTGTGAAGTCGCCCAGAGAGATATAACCACTGCCATTCGTTAAGATCAAGACGGAAATTCTCGCGACTGATAGTCCCATATTTAATAACTCTTCCCTCCATTGGCACCAGAGTATTGTAATACATTCGTGCACCGAATCTATCTTGCAATGAAACCACAGCATTGGAGCCAAAACGTCTGACGAAAGAGTAGTGGTGTGAATGGAGATTCAGATTAGTTTTATGCCATTGATCAGCGTCTTCGAGGACAAAAACAAAGTCCAACATGTTCTTTGAAGACACATTTCCTTTCTGGGAAAATATTCCGGAGCCANAAATTCTCGCGACTGATAGTCCCATATTTAATAACTCTTCCCTCCATTGGCACCAGAGTATTGTAATACATTCGTGCACCGAATCTATCTTGCAATGAAACCACAGCATTGGAGCCAAAACGTCTGACGAAAGAGTAGTGGTGTGAATGGAGATTCAGATTAGTTTTATGCCATTGATCAGCGTCTTCGAGGACAAAAACAAAGTCCAACATGTTCTTTGAAGACACATTTCCTTTCTGGGAAAATATTCCGGAGCCATAAGCGAAAGCAAGGGAAATTCCGGACGGAAAACGAGCCACAATTTTCTTTAGAAAATCATCATGTGAGTCCGCCATTTTGTTCGCGCTAGAGCCCAGTCTTTCATATTGAAAGAGAGGTTGTTTACCGTTAAGTTTACCATGGCAACAGCTGAGCTTTTGTGGCTTCTCAGCTGTTGCCCCAGATATCATATTGAGTTCACATTTTTTTCTGCGATGGCTTTCTTCAACTTAACACGGCTGGGACTACAGGACCCTATAAAGTCTGCAGTCACTAAACCGGGAACAGCTTCTGCACCAGGCGGAGATCTTGATACAGCGAAATCAACAGCTGCGGCAGCGTCAAGACACGCCAGTCTCAAAGAGCCGGTCTATCCAAACTCGGAAGCGAATGGATCTCACGTAAAATACACTACCCGTCTACACAAACACATTCGACCTAAATTGGGTAAGTCTGCCTAAGATAAAAAGCTTTCGCTTCCATACTCTGCGTGATATGTAAGCGCGATCTTAACAGTGATGATGAGATTTTATTTATTGAGACGGAAGTTGTTTATAAATTTTATAAAAGTGATAATGGCCTTCTTTGTTTATATCACTCACTCTTGGTTTTAATATTTAGTCTTGTTGTGTTGTAAGATTATAGTCGAGAAATAGAAGTTATTACTTAAAGGGCTTTTTAGTTAGCAAATACCCAATGATAATAAAAATGTGCTTAAAAAACTCTTATATGACACAAGATCTCCCATGAGGCCTCTCAAAATTTTTGCCGCACATCTTTCTAAAAGTTACATTTGCAGGCATTTGCACAAGCGAAATTGAAAACCATGCCATCAACCTGATTTTCAGATGATCGTGCAGGCCTAATCTTTAATGCACTCACGTCCATATCCTTGGACATTCACATCCGTATCCCATATCCTTGTAGTCTGTGAACAGGCTCTCTGTTTGGGGGAAAACAGGCTAATATCCTTGAGGCTGCTGCATAGGACATTTTTAGGGGGTGCCCCTCATTCACTGAGTGCAGAGGCATTTTGGAAAAGTACCCTCTTTGTGTAAGGCTGTATATGCACTCATGAAACTCAAAGGAAATAAAATTGTGTTGAGTCTGTACTGAGATCACATAAAATGAATTTAATAATTCTCTTTTCAGATGGTAGTGGCCAACCTGAGAGCATTGCTCCTTCTTTGATACTAATAGACTCTATGGACTATATCAAAGAAACTTCAACATTGTTGACCCAACCTCCCAGCAGTAACAGTTTATTCACATCCAGGGGAGAGTAGGATTACTCCCAGGTGCTTCATGCTACACAAAATTAATGGTGATAGCCCCAGCCGTGGGTGCTTCACATGCTCATGTTAACCTCCAACGCAGTTGTCTTATAGCTTCACTATAATTAATAAAGGCATTCCTTTCCCACTTTAATTTGTGGGAAAGGAACCCACGACAAAGCCTTAAGAACGTCTGCATGGGGGACTAGGCTCCTGTGTGCCTTTACCAAGTGCATAAGCAAAGCTTCATATTTTGAACACTGCAACCATTTTGCTTTATTTTTTCTATGATTTATTCTTTTTTCTTAAACAAGGACTTTTGTCATTTTAAAACCAAAAAAGAACAACAAGAATAACAACAAATTGAAAGAAACAGGGTCCACAGTTTTCCAAGAGAAAGGGCAGCCTTCTTCTACTGCAATGCCAAAGGGTCTATTACCCAGTGCTTCTGATAATTCTTGTGGGATGATTCTCTCCTTCTCTTAATCTTTTAACTTAAAATTAATTTTTGCAGGACCAAATGAAATATACCACACCCAAATAACAACAAATATAAATTACAGTTATTGGATGAAAGATGGAGTCCAACAAGAATCATGGACACAGAATGATCATCATCCAAGAGTCAATAGTGAAATGACAAGGTATCATTCAATAATAATATTCATCAACATATTACTTCCTTTCATGTAAGATTTTGCCTAGTCTGCATAGCTGGCAGCAGTTATTTATTTTTTAACAGGCCCTGCAAGGAGAATATGTGAGATTTTCTTCCTTTTCCCTTAAAAAACGGCACCTGCTATGTAGGGTAGATTTTGCCCTTCAGACCTGTGTATTTTGTACCTGAAAAAGCATCCGAAGTTTAATTGACAAGTCATTTCAATAACTATACATACAATGCCCGGGTAGTAGGGTGGGGGTTGGAGGGGTTTTGGAAGGGTGGTTGCGGGCACAGCTGGGGTTGATGAAGCCATGAAATGTATTGAAATAATAAGGTGTTATTCAATAATTCATGATCTTATTATTTCAAGTAATGATTTTGCCCTACAGGGCCCAGTTGTTCAAATGCCGGTTAGCGCTAACCCAGGGTTAAATTTTAACCAGGGCTTCTTTTTCTTTTCATCAAAAGCACTCTCTCAGATGATTTTCTATATATTTTTTAGAGTATCCAATCATCAAATTGTAGACAAAGAGAATTACACTGAATTTGCTTTTTACGCTCTCACATCTGAGTTCAAATTTTGCACTAACCCTGGGTTATCTTAACCCACCTTTGAACAACCCAACCCAGGTGTATTAATTTTTGTACCTGTACAGGCATCAGACTTTCATTACAAGTCATATCAGCAACTATACAAAGGAACCCGATACAGCAAACTGCTAAATGCCTGGGCTCACCCCAATCCGCTTCCCACCAACACGGGACCCCCACCCCTCTCTTCCTCACTCCCTTCCCACTAACACCCGTGTGAATCTCAACTACTTCGGTATTTTGCATAACTTTTCCTGACTTTCAATTACGTTGCTTGCTTTAACATTAGGGTACATACATACATACATACATACATACATACATGTACTCTACCAGTCCCATTTCAGTTTGTTAACTCACAAACCAGGATGGTAATAATAAAATCATATTATATTAGAGATTTCTTGCAAAGTTCAATGCATTTCAGATAACAGAAATGCTGGAAAATTTGCAAAAATGAATGTAAAGTGAAAAAAACCTTAATACTTTCTCTAGTTTACCCTTTAAGGACTCAAGTTGAAAGGTACATGTATGTTATAAACTTCAAGTTCAGTGATCTTGTGTTTGTTTCCTATTTTTCCAGATTTGTTGATGAAATGACACTTACCAACAGAGAGTTCACGTTATTTTAAGCACTGAACAATGAAATAGCTGGGATGCTGAACTTATTTCTCTCCCTCCTTTAATTGTCACAATGTTATTACTTTCTTTAATAGAATATTTCAATGATAAATGTCGTCAATTCATTGATGACTAGGGTACAGTGCTGACTTGTACATATAATCATTTACAACCACTTATCATGAAGCAGAAAAATAAGAATTCAACATTGAAACATGAAACTCAGATTTCACTTTAACAAACTGTATCGATTAATGAGAACATTACCCTTTTATTGAAAAGTACATTCGTTTTTTAAATGTAATGGGTATGTAATTTTTTTCAGTTTTTTGCTAATAAAATACTTTGATAGAAAATGTACACGTATAGAATCAATCTATTCCTTGTCTTTAACAATAATGTGTTATCAGGGGGCAATAGACAAGAGAGAACTGACAGTAATAATAATTGGTGAAGGGACTTAACTTCACAAAACATTGCAACAAAATGCAATAGAATACATACACCTGTCTGGTGAGGCAAATGCACAGGTAGCTGCATGGCCTTGCATTAACAACAATAATTCAATAACTATTATTGAATGAGGCTGAGTATCATCTGAAGAATTATGGAGATTGGGAGGGTGTTATCCACCGAGGCCTACAGAAATTTTAATTATTTAAAATATCTGTCAACCACCTCCATTTCCTTTCAAACATTTTGCAGTAAAACTGCATGGAAGAGAAAACACTAGAAACCCCAGAAAAAAATAAACTTTCTTAAAGACAACATAACTTGATACATTTCCTCAATTTATTATTAGTATTATTATTATATTTTTATTTACCGTGCTGCTGTTTAATACAACATTTCTGTTGTGGCTTTGCATCTGATATTGATAACAAATCTTTTACTGGTCAAGATGTACAATTTTATCGTGACCAGTTGAAATATTTAATTCCTTTTACCATACGTTATTTAAAAAACTATCAAGGATTCGAGTGACTTAAAATTTGAAACAATATTTAAATAAATCTCAAATTCATTGCATTTAATTAAATTATTATCACTGTATCTGTTGCCACTAAAAAAGTAATACTTACTTTTTTGAAACTTGCAACTCTATATCATATATCACCTTGGAGTTTCAAATACTCATTGAGTAGAATGAAAAACCAGTACATTATGACAGCTTTGAGTGGCTGGTCTCTTGGATCATTAATTTTGCAATGCCCATCTCATAATAATACTATACTCATTGTCTTTTTTAATGCATTTTAACATTCATAAGAGTATTAAATACACCTTCAAGAAGCCCAAAGTCAATAATATTTCAACATTCATTTCTCTCAAAATTGGAAATAAATTGCAAAGGATATACATTTGGTTTATAATTTTGCCAGACGTACTATCAAATTCAAAGGTTTTTTTTAAAAATAAGATTTGGCTGCCTTGCAGCCGTTTTAATAATTTTAATTTTAATATTGGTTTAAGGACCGTCTAGGTTAATAATTAACCTACACAGTACAACATGAACCCATAATAATTAAAGCTGCAAGCTTTTGTTTTCTTCTGTTTAACCTTATGCAACTGTGACCTGGAAACAGTGTTGGGAACTGCAATTTAAATCTTAATATGTCCGACATGGTCATGACTTCCGATCTTTGATTTTTGAGAATGATGGTTTCAGTGTAACACTGTAGAGTGACAGACTACTGATATTCAAGACAGTGAGTGTGCCTTAGCTCATTTTTTCTGATCATCACCATACTGTGTTTCATCCATGTTTCCTTGGTTATCACTTGTCTCTATGGTAACATCAGGCGGCATTGGACTGCTGTCACCCAGCATAGTACCGTAAACATTACAAGCGACAATCAAGCAACACAACACAATTGGACCAATGATGGCTCCTTCAAGACCCACACAATAGATTCCTCCTGCAACAGCTAAACCAGTCAGGTATGGATGGCCACCCCTGTTGATAAACAATAGTACAGTAATGGTCTTAACAAAATACTGGTAAGATGGAGTGGAATTTACTTGAGCTTTTGATTTTGCTTTGTGGGGTTAAAATTTTGAGCCACCTATACAGTGAACTAATACACTGTATAGAATACTATGCCGATCAGTCCAACAAAGTTTGAAGCCTTGGTACAATGCAGCACTGTGGTTGTTCATGATATGCAATACTAAATAAGTGCATAAGGCCCTTATATCATACTTCCTTTTAAGTCAAATTCTTTCATTGTTGAGGGCACTCAATTCTGAAAACTTGCAGCAAATTTCTTGGTATAAATATTGTTAATTTCAAGTACATTCAGGTAAAATAATATTCTTAAATTTCTTTTTTGTTATAGTACCATACACTTGAAGTCACTGTACAATAAAGGCTGTGCTTTTGTTATGAACTACCCTAAAAGGACCAATTAGATTGCTTTCATTCAAGAGTTTACTGATACGTCGCTTACAAAAACTCTAAAAAACACAATGGAAAGATCACAAAAGTGTTTGTCTTAGCTTATGAGAGCTTTTGATAACAGAACTTATAATAAACTTAAGTTCAACAGTGTTGGTTCTGATGAGAGTGATTGCAAGAAGCAAGTTGGGTGTACTTCATCAAGAAAATGGACAATACCATGATATGTGAATTTGGGTCTACAAATTAAAAACTTACAGCAATTCTAATCCTGGTAATAACCTTTTTTCAATAAACTACATGTAGTAGGGCAAAGCGATAGGATTGTAAATCATGAGGTGAAGTCACTTTTTCAAGTGTTTTTCCAAGGAGGGTCAGTTTATGCAAAATGATACTTTGAAACAAATGAAGAAACTGCATACCCACTAATTTCACTGTAAATGGCAACATCAACAAAGTATGTTGGTAGAAAATGGCAGACTGCAAGCACAGCAGCCATTATTCCCTGTCCTTGGACCAGCCACAGTTCAAGTACAGCGGGAGCTGCTGCCCAGTATGTGCCAATAAATGGAACAACAGCAGTTATGGCTGCAAATGCTGAAGGAAGAAAAACAAAGATATGCAATCCAATCCAGTGGCTGTTCTAGGGTTGATATTGATTAGTTTTGAGGTTTTAAACTTAACAACATTTCTGCACAACCTAAGCCTAAGTCGCAAACTTTTCTGTGCAAGTGTGTCACGAAAGTTGGAAAAAGAGCAAAAAAGAGGAATGAAGGGGAAGGGGGGAGGGGAAGAAAAAGACACCCTTGACTGCAAACCCCATGATTCTGAAAAAATATTAATGTGCAGCTTCTGATTGGTGCAGAATGGTCGTGTTAAGTGAAAAGCAATCAGCATATCAATCAAACTGGCTACTGTAAGTGCACCGTTGATATTCACATTGAGGTATTATTTCACGTTACATAGGTTTATACATTCAATTTTTAACAAGAATAATGTATTTAATAGTCATGCGATAATTTATTAATTTGAAACTACTTTTCAGCACTAGCCACACAACATGTAGATTAACAATAATACTGCCAAAAAAAGATGCAGACCGGGTATATTGTGCCTGTTAGCACTAGTGGTGGTGGGAGGGGTGGGGATGGGGGCATGATGAGCCTACCTGAAGGTATGTAGACAATATTAACACCAAATGTTGTGTGGGTGAACCATGTATAGATGCCATAGAACACTGCCATCTTAACTGCTGCTCCAAATACACCCCTACAAAAATTAGTATGTAACACATTACAAGAGAAAATTAAAGCCAAGAAATCACTTCTTTAGGTATCTGATATTAGGGACCCTATGAAACTATGACAGCAACATCAAAAAGCAATAGGTTTAGTTAGCAAAACAACAACTCTGCACGTGTATCGTGCTTTCTTGTACATTTCTTTGCCGTCCCTGCATGACTATGACGTGAAATGACCAAATTTGAATAACTTTTTTTAAGGATGGGAACGGCAAGGCCATACATTTTATCATCTGTGTCTGAATTCGGGTGCTGCCCCCTCTCTTCAGCTCCAATATAAATTCCCTTCTTTTAAGTAACTCGGCGACTTGAGATTACCACAAAATGGTTTGAAAGGATGCGGAGTCTATTTTTCAGCAAGGTTTCCATGGATGCGCCGTTGTCGGATCATAAGATCCCTATTACTACATATTTCTAATCGATGAAACTTTGTGTGTCAATAATCCAGAAATCAGTGCAATCAATAACATGCATTCCAAAAAAAGGCCAGCAATGTTAACTGACTTTTGAGAAAAATAGCAACTTCCCTGACTGAGCTTAAAAATAGTGTTGCTCCTGTTTGGCACGCAGGAACCTTGTCTCCAGGGCCTTTTCTACAAAGCAGAACAGCTGAGAAGGAGGGAGAAGAGCAATCTGTGGAGAAAGCTGCTACAAATACTTCAATAGATTTTCTTCGCTTCTGCTTGCATTCCAGAATCCATATCTGAAATGGCTGTAAATCCATCCTAGTTAAAACATTGGATGAATCTGTATAGGGTGGATATACAAGAGAAACAGAAGTAGTAGTGGCGACTTGGGCTTGAGCAATTCATTCATTAGAAGCCATACATTAAGTGTACTTGTATAGGTAGCAAATATTCTTCTTCAGAAAATGTTGGCTACCCACTTATTATGACCAGACTAATGATAATACCTTCCCAAGATGTCTGTCATGAGGCAAAGGCATTCAAAATCTTTGGTGTTTTTTCAGTAGCAGTATGCAGGTATTTCATTATGTAAGTCTAAGTAAATTACAATTCTGACAGCCCAGAGAGACTTTATTGACTGTTTATACAAACCTGATAGCTCCATATGCAGAATCTCCAAATCCAGATGTTCCAGTAGCTGTTAATTTACCAAACCATTCAACAGGCTTGTACTGCTCCCCAGAGAAACTCAATAAATAAAACAATGCAGTTACAAAAACGATCTGAAAGAACACAAACAGACACCACTGCATTTACTCAAAGGGCTATGTCCAGTCAGCAATTATTGCAGATCATGAAATACTGTACTTGAAATTATAGTTACCTTGCCAGGTCATCTGTGCATCTAAAAGAAAATTTATTTTGAGGAGTTCTTTTTTTTGTGTTGAACAACATTCATGTTTTTAGACAGAAAGAAAGACAGACAGGATGAAAGGAAAGTAAAGGATACACCTGCACATTATTTACATGTACAATATAACTGGCTTGGAAATCATCATAAACTTACATTACAAAGACTTTATAGCACCACAAACGATTTCTTAGTATGCTATTACTTGCACAGAACTTACCATGGACAAGCCAGTGTTGAGAAGGTAAGCACCACTGAAGAACACAATAGATAGAACTGTAGTAACGAGGTTAAAA